CTCCTCTGGACAAATCATCTACAAAAAAGAAATTAAAAGTGATACAAGATCTAAATGATACCATAAATGAAATGAACTTGACAGACATTTACAGATTATTTCACCAAATGACCAAAAATATATATTTTCTTCACTGCATATGGAACATTTTTAAAGATCAACCACATGAGAGGGCACAAAAGAAACCTTACAAATTCAAATGTATATACACTCTATCCAAGATATCTATAGAACTTTCCACCCTACATCCACAACATATACATTTTTCTCACCCCGACATGGAACCTTTTCAAAGATAGATCATATATTAGGACACAAATCAAGCCTTTACAGATTCAAAGGCATAGAAACTGTACCCAGCATCTTCTCTGACCATGATGGAATTAAACTCAAGATTAATTTCAAGAAACAACCCCGAAAACACACGAACACATGGAAACTGAACAACCTACTTCTGAATGACTTCTTCACTACTGAAGAAATTAAGGCTGAAATAAACAAATTTATGGAAACAAATGATAATGAGGACACAAGTGTCCAGAACCTATGGGACACAGCAAAAGCAGTCATAAGAGGGAAATTCATAGCAATTAGTGCACATAAGAAAAGGATGGAAAGATGGCAAGTAGATAACTTATCATCATGCCTCAGAGAACTGGAAAAACAACAACAAACGAACCCCCAAAATGCCAGGCGAAAAGAAATAATAAAGGTTCGAGCAGAAATAAATGAAATAGAAAATAAACGAACCATACAGAAAATAAATGAAAGCAAAAGCTGGTTCTTTGAAAAGATTAACAAGATCGACACACCATTGTCTAGACTGATCAAGAAGAAGAAAGAAAGAAACCAGATTAATCAAATATGTGATGAAACAGGCAATATTACCACGGACATAGCAGAAATACATAATATCATTAGAGGATACTATGAGCGACTTTACGCCAACAAACAAGATAATCTGGAGGAGATGGACAAATTCCTGGATGCATATAATCTACCAAGATTGGATCAGGAAGACATAGAGAATCTGAATAGACCTATAACAAGCCAGGAGATTGAATCAGTAATTAATAATCTCCCAACAAAGAAAAGCCCAGGCCCAGATGGCTTCACTTGTGAATTTTACAAAACTTTCAAGGAAGAACTAATGTCTATTCTCTTCAAACTACCTTGAAAGATTCAAAAGGAAGGAACTGTTCCAAATTCATTCTATAAAGCTTCTATTATCCTGATCCCCAAACCAGACAAGTACATAACCAAAAAAAAAAAAAAAAAATTCAGGCAAAAATTCTCAACAAGATACTAACACATTACATTCAACAAGAGATTAAAAAGATTATACACCATGAACAAGTAGTATTTATTTCAGAGTTGCGAGGATGGTTCAACATATGCAAAGCAATCAACATAATACATCACATCAACAAAAGGAAACATAAAAATCATATGAATATATCAATTGATACAGAAAAAACATCTGATAAAATACTACATTCTTTCATTATTAAGACTCTTATCAAAACTAGCATAGAAGGAAAATTTCTCAATGCAATAAAAGTCATCTATGACAATCCCATAGCTACCCTCATACTGAATGGGGAAAAGCTGAGATCTTTTCCACTAAAAAACTGAAACAAGACAAGCCAGACCACTTCCTCTACTGTTTTTCAATATAGTGCTGGAAGTTCTTGACAATGAAATTAGAGAAGAGTCAAATAAAAGGCATCAAAATCAGAAAAGAAGTGAAATTACCTCTGTTTGCAGAGTATATGATTCTGTACTTAGAAAATCCAAAACAATAACAATAACAACAAGAAAACAACAACAACCAAAAACTCTTCAAAGTGATAAATGAGTACTGCAAAGTGGTAACAAAATTAACATACAAAATTCTCTAAGATTTTTATACTCCAACAATGGACAAACTTAGATAGGTTTGATGAAATGAATCCCATCTATAATAGTCACAAAATCAGTAAGATATCAAGTAATAAACCTGGCCAAAGAAGCCAAAGCCCTCTACATGGAAAACTATGAAATATTTTTAAATGAAATTTAAAATGATACAAAAAACTGGGAAAACAGCCTATGATCCAGGATTGGAAGAATTAATATAATGAGGATATCAATTCTACACAAATTAATCTACAAATTCAATGCAATTCTGATCCTAGAGACATTCCTCAGAAATAAAAAAAGCACATTAAAGCAATTCGTCTAAAATCAAAAAAGGCCTCATATTACCAGGAAATACATTGCAAAGGGAATAATATAGGAACCATCTCACTTACTGACCTCAAAACACATTACAAATCTGTGATAAACAAACCAGCATGGTATTGGCATAAAAACAGGCAGGTAGACCAATGGAACAGAATTGAGAAACCCAAAATAAACCCTAAGACATACAATCAACTGAATCTTGACAAAGGGCACAAGACAATCCAGTGGGAAAAAGAAAATCTCTTCAGCAAATGGTGCTGGGAGTAAACCCGCATGGTATTGGCATGAAAACAGGCAGGTAGACCAATGGAACAGAATTGAGAAACCCAAAATAAACCCTAAGACATACAATCAACTGAATCTTGACAAAGGGCACAAGACAATCCAGTGGGAAAAAGAAAATCTCTTCAGCAAATGGTGCTGGGAGAACTTGATTTCCTTTTCAGAATAAACCTGGCCTCTTATCTCTCACCAGTAACAATCAACTAAAAATGGATTGAGCACCTAAGCATAAGTCCTCAAACTATAAAAATACTGATGCAAAACAGAGAAAACTCTTGGAAACTCTGAATAAGGCAAGAACTTCTTAAAGAAGACCATCAAAGCATATGCAAGAGTCCTAAAATTAGACTAGTAGGACTACATTAGACTAAAAAACTTTTGCACAGCGAAAGTAACAATAATTAGAGGTGACAGACAATTCTCAGAGTGTGAGAATATATTTGCAAACTATACCTCAAATAAGAGACTGATAACCAGTATACAGGCAACTCAAGCAGCTTACCTGCAAAAAAATAATCAATGTAATTAAAGGATGGGAAAAATGAGCTGAACAGATAACTCTCCAAGGAAAACATACAAATGGCCAAAAAGCATATGAAAACATGCCCAACATCTCTTATCATAACAAAAATTCAAATCAAAACCACAATGAGATACCACTTAACTCATCAGAATGTTGACTAGAATTTGAAAAATAAAGAATGATAAATGCCAACAAGGTTGTGTTGGAAAGAGAACTAACCTACATTGTTAAATTAATTTAGTTCTTCCACTGTGGAGAATGATACGGAGATTCCTCAGAACCCTATAACTAGAACTACGATATGACCCAGAAATTCAGCTCTTAGGCATTAACCCAAAGGATGGGAAAGCCATTAGGGAAAAAAACACTGGCACATGTTTATTATGGCATTATTTACAATTTTTAGGACATGGAATCAACCCGAATGTCCAAAAAAGTAGATTAAAAACAAGTGACATATGTACTCTATGGAATACTCAGTCATAAAAACAATGACACTGTGTCATTTGATACAAAGTGGAAGGATATGAAAGACTTAATGCTAAGCGAAGCAAGTCAGGCTATGAAAGATTGTATGTCCCCGCTCAATAGCAGAAACTGAAAGATTGAAAGGTATAATAGCAGAGGGAACAACTGTAGATATTAGAGATAGTAAGGATAGGGGTAATCGGGATGGGTATGGGGGAAGGGAGGGAGGAGAATAGGGAAAAAATACATTTTACACAAAAATGAAAATTTATTGCTGAAGATAATGTATATGATCATGTCTTTGTTTTGACCATTTGTGCTGGGGACAAACCGTATTGTATATTTAAAAGATGTATAGTGTTGGGACCAGCAGATGACATAATGGCTATGACACTGGACTCTCATGTATCCGACAGCAGTTCAAGTCCCAGACTTGGTGACTTAAACTCACACCAGACACGTGTATGTGCATGCCAAAGATCCTAAGAGGAGAACAGAGGAGATGGGATTGTGGGGTGGCCATCTCCCGTGTGTGTGTGTGATATGCACCCTATAGCAAAAAGCTCTCAAAAAATAGATGTTTACTGATAAATGTAAAATTTAATATATGTATACATATATTATTATAATTATAATATATTATTATATACACATATACACACACAGACATATATATATATACACACACACTTAATTTCTTAACAGAGGATCTTCGGTGACAATTGAAGTTCTAATCTGCAAATCTTTCCTTGTGGTAGTTTTTCTGAATGCTAACACTCACCTATACAGAGTATTAATGAAAACAAACTCTGCTCTAGTTTTGACTGAAGCGAAATCATTCACATATATTAAAATACATACATAATTTTTCAGAACATAATTTTTACAATCTAATGCCACCTATGTTTACCAATAATGTCTTTTGAATGCTGCTTCTTTTAATTTCCCTGGAAAGAATCTTTCAGGTGGAGAGGTTTTTTGATAGTAAATGAAAGTGCTTTTAAAAATCTACCTGCATGGATGTGAGGAAGGGCCAAGGAAGCTTGCAAGGTGTGTCTAATATGACTGAGACATAGCCAACTTGGAGGATCTCAAGAGCCGGAATGTTCTTTCATGTTTGTTCCCAATGAATATCAGATTCAAAGGTATTTTATCTAATTGTTGTCCTCTGACTGCTTCTGATAATGTCCTCTTCTTAGTGGAGTAGATCCTTATGCTGTGTACATTTACTAGAAGGAAGAAATCATTGAATTTTTGGCAATGTTCCCAGCAGTAGGTGTTGGCCATGGACAAGAATCTGGGCAGAGCCTCAAGATTCCACTGCTCATATTGTTCCTATACTATGCAGCGTGAATAATCTCATGACCCCCAGAATTCCTTGTGATCTGTTTATAATCCTCAATGGGTATGTAAATCCAGCTCCTATAGTATTTTTGTTCTGATGTGAGAATTGCATTAGGAGAGACTCAAACATCATTCCACAAAATTCATATCTAATTACCTGTGGCATTTTGTAGAGGTCCAAAAGGGTCCCAATTTGAGCTGAAAATGTTGGAATATTTCCTGCAATGATAGCTACAGATTGGTTCTGGATCTGGCAGTTGTAGTTAGGCAAAGATTGATTCCCTCCAGAGAGCAAAAACAGGGCATTCTCTAAGGTCCTTAGGTGGCCGGGAAGTGCATTGTAGAGATTATAACCGAAGGAAAGGTTGGGAAGCAAATGGAGATTCTTATTGATCTCCTCAATGGCAAAGAGAAATGCCAATACATGTTGGTAGTTCCTCCAGAGCAACCTAAACAAGGGAAACAGCATTATGAAAGGTGGTCCAGTCATGAGATTCACAGTAAACACTCAACCAAGTCAAAGGGCACAAAAAGCTACACTTTGTCTGCCATTCAGATATTTTCCTGCACTGTTATATGAAACGGGTGTGAATGAGGGTCCTGAGGCTTTGAAAAATTTTGAAGTGGCTTTTTCCCTCCATTTAAATAAATTTTGTTCAAATAACGAAAGAGATTTGAAGGACATTGTGAGTGGGATAAGGTCTCATTTAGCTGGATGATGATGCAGTCACCTGAATAGAGTAGGTTTTAAGGGAGGATCCTTAATGTACAGAAAATATAAATCTATAAAACTATTGTTTTCTATGGATGTGAATAAGATGTACGAATATCTACTACTATCTGTGCATTTAAAAATATATATAGGTAAATTATAGCTATACATATTTTTAAATTACAAAGCAGTTTAAGGATTTATAAATATAATGCAGAGAAAGTTAACATATATATCATCTCAAGTATTAAACATTTTCTGTGACAAGATCATTAGTAATATTATCTCTTAGCAATATTTAAATATGCAGTACTCAGGTCAGTAGGTGTGGCCTTGTATTAAATTCATTGAATCCCACATGACTGACTCCATGGCTTGAGTTCCAAATCCAGAGGCCTGAAAAACACACCCAGCATTTGTACATCTGTGTCCAAAAACATTACAAGAGGAGAATGGAGGAGAAGGGATTGTGAAATGGCCACTTCCCCTTGGAGATGATTTTTCACTTTTCTTCTCTCTCTGTCTCTGTTCCTCTCTGGCATGTGCACGTGCTCTATTGCCAAAACAAACAAACAAACAAATCACAGTACTCAAATGTTGGCTCTATTCATCATGTTTACATTTACTACATAAACCCCTTTACAATGAGGTGTATCTCAAATGTCATTTTGTTTCTGTGTAAGTCCAGAAATCATGATGTGAGCATTCTTTATTTTCTTTATGCTCTAGAATATTTAATAACACTGGGCTAAGCAGTTTTTGAACCATTTGGCAGAATTAGCCTCTAAAATATATTCATTTCATGCATTTTCAGGTTTTATTTTTGGAGATATTTTGCTATAGGGGGTGTGCCCTTGCCAGAGAGACAGAGAGACAGAAAATGAAAAATCAACCCTTAGGGAGATGGCCATAGCATAATCCCTTCTCCTCCATTCACTTTTCAGGATTTTAGGTATGCACACACATTCACCTTTGAGTTTCAAATCTCCATGTCTAGGACTCGAAACATGGTTGGCCATGTTAGAGTCCAGCAACGTAACTGTTACTGGTTCTTTTAAGTCCCTTTTTCTATACTTTTTCACACTACAATATCAATTCTTAAGAACAAAGTGTGGTTATGATACACTTTCCTTGAGGGGCCAGCAGGTTGCTTAGTGGTTAAGGCATCGGATTCCCATGTGATTGACTGTGGCTTGAGATTTGGACCTGGAGCCTTGAAATTCACAGCAGGGGTGTGTGCATGCATGCCCCAAATCCTGAAAGGAGAATGGAGGAGAAGGGATTATAGCAAGGCCATCTCACCTGGGAGATGATTTCTCACTTTCTCTCTCTCTCTCTCTCTCTCCCTCTCTCCAGTGATCCCATCTGCCCTATAGAAAAAAAAACTAAAAAAATTATATACTTTTTCCTTAAAAATATATCTTCCCTTGGGAACCAGCAGTTAGCGTAATGGCTATGTCGCTGGACTCCCCAGTAGTCGACCGCGGTTCGAGTCCCAGACCTGGTGGCTTAAACTCACGCCGGGCGTGTGTGCATATTGGTTATGGCCATTTTTGTCAATTATTAAAACGTAAATCCCTCTTTGTACTTAATTGTTCTTTATAATTTTTAATTTACACTTAATGTTTTTCCTTTTGAAAGACTAGTAGTGGTGTAGATTCGTGGACTGTTGTACAATGCAACCAGATTCCACATGGCCAACCACGTTTGAGTTCCAGACTCGGTAACTTGACAGATACACTGTGTGTGTGTATTTGTGTGCATGCTCGAAAACCCAAAAGTAATAAGAGATGGTGGGGAAAATATTGCTGCATGACCGTTCTCCATGGGGGACTCACTCCTTTCCATCTCTCTCTTTGTGGAGTGCAGGCATCTTCTTATTCTTACTGTGGACAAAAGTCTGATTGCTTCTTCATATTTTTCCAAAGTCCTCTGAAGAGAGCCTAGGAGGAGTCATACCCACAAACATTAACAGACCATTTTTTCCCCATTTAACAGGATTCTTCCTAAATCCTGTCCCTGGCATATTATCTTTGAGATGTATATTCAACTGATTACAGTATATTATTTTGCTAACCTCTTCCCAAGGCCCAGAAATTCCCTTTTCTTGAGATGTAGATTAAGCATTTCTTTATAAATCTCTTTCCAGGGCACAAATCTTCCCTTCCAATCACCAGCCTAGGAATTGTGGAACCCATCTATAACCTACAAGCCCCCGCTTCTACGTATTCCGCCTTTTTGGTCCAGACCAATGGAAAATCTCTTCACTAAATTTTGTCTGTCAATCTCGAAAACAAATAAAAGGAACTGCTGTACAAGATCACCCCAAGAAAGGCATGTAAGTCTTTTCTCTGGACCTAGGCCACTCATATTTGGCTTAGAAATAAACCACATTATTAATTATTAATTTAAAAAATAATTATTTAACTTTATTTATTATTATCATTATTATTTTTCAGTTTGATCAGAGAGAGAATAGAGAGAGAGAGGAAATGAGAAAGCAAGCCACCAGGTCCGAGACTTGAACTGTGGTCAGGCATGTGGGAGTCCAGCGCCTTTAACCACTATGCCACTTGCCAACCCCCATTATTAATTATTAATTTTTACAGTTGGTTATTTTTCTGCCAACATTTCTGTCTCTCTGTCTCTCACTATCTCTCTAAATGTATATATTGTATATGAATTTTTACAGCTATGTAGAGGACTTATTTGGAATAAATTAAATAGATTCAGTGCAGTATGCTATTGAGAGCTATCTGATGCCTAATTTTGTTTGTTTTATTTGTAATAAACCAAGAGTAAATTAACATTTGTCTTTATTTTAAAATCTTTTTTTATATTTCTTGCTAATTTACCTTAATAACCAGGAATCTTTATTCACCACTGGGGTACTTAATATCAGCTTTAAGTTGACTATATTTTTGCAGTTTGAACTTGTCATTTAAAATTTTTGACAATGCAAAATATCACTCAAATGCTGAAAAAATAATAAGCATTTAAGGTAGAAGTGTAAACTTATTCACCACACATCTCAAAGCACAGGATATAGATTACTTTACCAGTGTTGCTTCGTAAATGTTAAGGCATAAAGTGTACATTACAAAATTTAAACCAGAGAATCTAATGGAACACTCTCTCACCAGAGTTCTAAGTGTTCTATTTAAACTCATAAATAGAGCAATTCAGATACTGTTGTTTTCCAGGAAGACTGACAAATAGATCAATGGAATGGAATATAAAGATAGGAAAGAGAGCCATACAGGTAGTATAGATAAAGATGCAAGACAAAATCAGAGGAGAAAAGGTTTTTGTTTGTTTGTTTGTTTGTTTTTTACAGTTATCTTAAACAAATACTAATTCATATATTTTTAAAAAATCAACTGATGGACCAACACATACTGCAGTCCTTAAGTTCTGTGCTTTGGGTACCAGATTGTACATAGTCAGCCATGGTTTGAGTCCTGGCCCCATGCTTCTTTTAAAACATGCAGTGTGGTGGCACATATACTCAATGGAATATTATTCATCCATAAAAAACAACAAAACCCTGACTTTTGAAAGGAAGTGGATGAATATGGAAGACTTACTGTTGAGTGAAGCAAGCCATGCTA